TTTGGCTGCGGTGTGAGCGGTTACAGGATTTGGGTGTCCGTGAGTGTCCGGCTGCTGTTTTGGCTGCGGTGAGAGCGGTTACAGGATTTGGGTGTCCGTGAGTGTCCGGCTGCTGTTTTGGCTGCGGTGAGAACGGCTGGGGGGCTTTTAAGTGCCTCTTGGTTCCCCCATGACCTCTGTTCTTCTTCCTCTGTGGATTCCTTGCTTTCTGTTCATACACTGGATACACGTTGTATATACCACTGGAGAAACTCTGTATATACCACTGGGTACATTCTGTTTATACCACTGGGCACACTGTTTTTCTTCACGGTCCTTGCCTCCCCCCACAAAAAGTGGGGTCATACAGGTGCTCTGCATGTGACTGGCACAGGGAAAAATTGGCATTTAATGAAGTCAGACGGCTGGGCGCGATGGTTAAAGCTGTGGTCCTTTGCCGGCCCTGTGACCTAAGCACTCAGCTGTTTGCAAATGACCGCTGCTCTTTGATGATTGCCGGGTGATGAAGGTGATCACACATCTCAAGCTGAGGTGCCTGCAGAGATGATCCATTACAGCCGTGGGGCTTCTTCACCTGGAGTGCTGGCTAATTTCCAGCCGAGGTCTCTTCCTCCCTCTCTCCCTCCCTCGTTCCCTCGCTTGCTTGCTGATTATTCCGCCTGCGGAGGCTCCTTAACCCTGCTTTGATTATCCTTTAATGCTTCGTACTCTCCTTGAGGTTCCTCTCCGAGTAGATGCTGGGCTTCTTTTCAGACAGTGCCCCCCTCGCCCCCCGTCCCCCTGCTGATGGATGGTTTGTCGCTGTTTCACAGGCAAGTGCCGTCACACAGCATTTACCCACTGCTACTGGTTGACACCAAACACTTGTTCTTATGCATAAAGCATAACTTTACTTCTAATTTAGCACAATAAAATGTATAGTGCAGTACAAACAACATCAATACTTACACTTTGTTAATCTTCTTGTCGGATCCAGTAAAACTTAGTCAGGGGGTAGTGAACACTGTTAATTAAAAATGTCCGTGGCACTGACCTGTCAGTCAAAAACCTATTAGCCAATGGGGACGCGTCCCTGAAGAAACCCGCCCATGCGAGAAGTTTGTGTCAGAATTCTAAACAAAAAGTCAGGGAGTGCAAGCGAGAAAGTGGGCAGGAAAACATTATCAAAAGACCAATCGTGTTTGCAAGTTATAAATTTTACTTTTGAGATGACATTTCTTTTGCTTAGTGTTAGCAGTTAGATTTTTTTCTTCTCAAAGCCTTGTTTTTGCTTGATGTCAAAAAAGTTTTGCTTGATAATATTGGCACAAATCTGATTCCATAGAAGTTCAGTCAGGCCTGTCACACACACACACACACACATACACACACACACACACACACACATACACACACAAACACACACACACATACACACACACACACACACACACACACAGCAGCCAATCATCTCTGCATGTGGGAATGTTCACCTCTTTCATCTCGGAAATAGTGCAATCTGAAGGAAGAGTCATCTTAAATTTCTCTATTTCTCTCTGCAGGCTCATCCTGGGATTTCACAGTCCGTATCGAGAAAATACTTATGCCCCAACATGCACACTTCAATCAGACGCTGCTCAGAAAAGAGACTAAATAAACCAAAGCCAAGTAAACGATGAAATAATAAAGAGAGTAGATCGCAGTGGGAGCAGAGGGTGTCTCTCTGCACTTGCTGCAGTTCTCCTTCCTGCTGTGGTCCAGCCTTCATCTCAGAGTGATGGACATGTGACTCCCACGTGTGACGAGGGGCACGGCTGGCTTGACGTGAAGCCGACCGGCCCTCAGACCTGTGCAGCCTACAGTCCTGACCCGGGAAGAGTGGGGCTTCCCTTGTGACTAGGGACTCCCATAAAGAGCGCCCCCCATAGGTCAATCAGTGACTTTCAACAGGCAGTTGTTTTACTTGCTGGAAGCCATATTGTTTTGAGAGAAGCAAGTCCAGCAAGGATGCAGCTTGGTTCAGAGCAGAGTTACTCATAGTATTATCCTCAGGCTTAGTGCTCTGCGAGGGTTATGGTTAGGTCTAGTGCTCTGTCAGGCTTAGGGTTAGTACTCTATTAGGGTTAGGGTTAGGCTTAGTGCTCTGTCAGGGTTAGGGTTAGTGTTAGGTTTAGTGCTCTGTCAGGGTTAGGGTTAGTACTCTATTAGGGTTAGGCTTAGTGCTCTGCGAGGGTTAGGGTTAGGTTTAGTGCTCTGTCAGGGTTAGGGTTAGTATTCTATTAGGGTTAGGCTTAGTGCTCTGCGAGGGTTTGAGTTAGTACTCTATTAGGGTTAGGGTTAGGCTTAGTGCTCTGCAAGGGTTAGGGTTAGGTTTAGTGCTCTGTCAGGGTTAGGGTTAGTACTTTATTAGGGTTAGGCTTAGTGCACACATCCATGTGGGGTTGTGGGAACTCACTTCTGTCTCTGTCCTCTTGCAGCAGTGGAGGGCCGGCTGCTTCCTGACGGTCTGGCCAGGCTCGCCTCCACGCCCATGTACCTACCTGTGAACTTTCAACTCCTGAATGCTGAGGCCGCTTTCTTCCTCAGGGAAGCCAACCAGGACATCATGCGTAACTCCAGCCTGCGTGTGCGGACCGAGCCCTTCTTTGTGTACCGGGCCAGGCGGCCCCCCTCAGTCAGCGCCACCTATGGGCCGCTGTTGGTGGAGCAGGCTGTGCCTCCGGAGCTCTTGCAGGCCCCGGGGATCCCTCCCAGCCCCTTCTCCTCCTCTGCTGCCACCACCTTCCCCTTTAACTGGAAGGTGAAGGCGGTTCTGGTGCGCGACTGGGTTGTGGCAAGCCGACCCAAGGTGCAGACGCTGTTCCACGTGACGGGTCGGGACTGGGATGACTACACCACAGCAGACCAGCTGCCCTGTGTCACAGTCTTCGCCTTCCACGAGACTCAGGAGGTCCGGGCCTCTTGCCGCCTGCGGGGGGCGCTGGCTCTCTGTGTGGCTGAACTGGAGCCACTGGCCAGCTGGTTTGACCCACCAAGTGTGGTCCCTGGGCGGCAGAGGGCCGCCCAGACTGAAGGCACCCCTGTAGAGTTGTACTACGTGGTCTGTCCCGCAGAGAGCGAGGATTGCGGGCGGGAGGACGATGCCCAGCGAGGGGGGGCGGGTGGAGAGCGGGCGGCTCATGGCTCGGCGCCACTGCTGAGGATCGGTAGCGTGAGGCTGTTCCAGAGTACTGCCACCCTCCCCCACAGCGATGTCCGCATGGATGACAACTTCATGGTGCAGATGCCGCCCCAGCCTGTCCGCCGGAAGGGGACCATCAGTGCCTTTGTAGGCACCTCCAGCTCCTCCCTGGTAGAGATGTTCACGCTGAGGTGAGCAGCTTTCATCACAGGAGGCTTTACTGTGATCTGCAGCTCTCATCACAGGAGGCTTTACTGTGATCTGCAGCTCTCATCACAGGAGACTTTACTGTGATCTGCAGCTCTCATCACAGGAGGCTTTACTGTGATCTGCAGCTCTCATCACAGGAGACTTTACTGTGATCTGCAGCTCTC